TAGCCACAGGTTGATTGTATATTAGTAGTCCTACAGAGCTCTCACAGCTGGTTGAAATTCACTCCTCAGACTCTAGGCAGACATTGCGATCCTCAAGATATAGCCGATCCAAGAGGGAAGGGCATGGTGAACCTGGCTTGATAATATAGGTGTTGCGAGTCATCTCTTGTTATGAAAGGTATCCATAACAGGCTAGTACAATAGTGAGTCTGTGGAGTGCCTTCGAAAAAGACCCGAAATTTCGTGCGAATTGTGTTTGTGCAATCGCGAAAGTATATGGATCATATGCGACAAGCAAATGTCCATTCTGAGCGTCTTTTAAAATCTGGACTGAGGTTTCATATGGTAACTACCAACGTCATCATACACTACGGTATAGTGCTGCTGTTTTAGGAGATCGTTGGCTATGCATGCAGCGCTTAGGAGCCGTCATGTTGTGCATGCTAGCTCGAGGTATTGAGAGCGTATGTAGGCATCCGCTCTACGTTGCGCCCCCTGACGTTACACGTGTTTTGGACCTTAGATCCCACGGAACTCAAGCGATGATAGAGCGGGATCAACTCAGCCGTCACCAGCATTCGCCTGAAATCTGCAAGTAAGCCCTGGCTTACCAAATCGTTTTGCCTACCACCGACTCCACAATCCCTCCAATCCATGGATGGTAGTCACCTGACATCCTACAGTTTTTGATGTATTGACGCACTGCCTCGAGTGTTTTACCTATTACCATGCTTGACACAATGACGTCGTTTGGTCACTTCAATGACTGCCGCAGTGCGCCGGGTTGCGAGAAAGTCGAGGCTAACTGGGCATGTAAAGTCGGTCAAAGTCATTCAAGTCTACCACGAACAGTTGACTTGCAGTGCATCAAGGGGCTACCGCAGCGGATACATGGAAGTAAATGCCTCTGTAGTTATTCGGTTGATTTATATAGTAACACTTAAGGGGTTCCAAAGCATATGAAACTATAGGATCGGAGAGATGAGTTGTGCCTGAACTATGCATTCACGCTTCCTACCAGTGCCACTGATATTTTTGTGTGGGGTATTGATCTACTTCTTGCACACACTCTGCTATTTGTCAATCCTTGCATCGAAAATGATGAGCACAGGTGAAACCTGATCCCGACATGGATACCGAGTACAAGTGTGGCAAGAACGAGTACACGGGGAAGGAAATTTACCTCGCAGCGCAACGGCGTGTCAACCTGCAGAAGATTGCAGAGACGCTTGGCAGTAAGTTGGATGTTCATAAGCTCCCACAAGTAGTCGTTCCGCGTCAAGTTACTAACGCATCTGAACTCCAGAGCCAAAACATCCCCACAGGTACCCTTACAACAAGTCGAAGAGAGGGAAACTCGAGTTTCCTCCCCAATATCCTTGCAAGATGGAGAAAACCCGCCAGGGGTTTTGGCACAGAGTGAATGTTGCTTAACATGAAAACCCCATCGTGTACTACTGCGGAATGATAATTCACGAGGGTGCAAAGTCGGGTGGGTTTCTGAAGTCCGGTGCTCAGGGTCCACCGAATGCTTACTCGGTTTGTTGCTAATACAGATTACCTGACACGAGCAGATATCTAGCTAGCTACATCAATTCACACAACACTCACTTGGCGCCTTGAACTACTCTTAAAGCAAAAGAGAAGAGGCACGCAAAGCGCTCTTATACATACTAATGCGAAGACTCTATCTAGGGTATATTCCAACATCAAAATCCTACATCCACAACCCAAACTTTACTCCTTGGGCTTAAACACGCGATGCCGCGCTAGCAATTGCGAGATCATGAAATGGCTCACATCCTCATCTGCCCAGTATGCTAGATGACTCGCGATACTAGCGAGGAGGGAGATGTCGAAAGCCTGGTAGCGCATTAGTGAACCCCACGCCCTCGAAACGTTCATGAATGTACTCACCCCTTCCTGGATCGAATAATCCACCCTCCCATTACTATTGAGCGCGCGAACCTTTAATTCTTCCTTTTTCAATTTCCTACTTTTCTCTTCAAGTTCTTGCCATTCGAGATCCGCTTCGCCGATTTTGCTTCCGTCGTCGCTCGTTGCGTTACTCTTTCTGCGCTTTTGAAATCCAGCAAATAGCGTTTCCACTTCGCTTTCGATAAGCGTGGGTGGATGTTCGCCATCTTCACCAGGGACAATGGTTTCCTGGCCGAGACGCTTGCGGCGCTCTTCATTTAAAAAGGCAGAGGTGGGCTCATGGAGATCTGGAATGGCGGCGGTAGATGGAGCGCCGACGGACAATGGGCGAGATGTGCGTTGACCTTGGGGACTGTTTGCGACATCCGTGCCGGAGATGCCGAGACTGCGATTGAGTAAGCCAGAGGCAATGCCGGAGCCAAGGGAACTCCAAAATTCGTTGACACTCTGATTGACGCGAGCGCCGATACCTGTCAGGCCTTGCGAAGCGGGGGCGCCAAAGATGCCTTTCTTGGTGTATGGGAGAGGTTGAGCCTTGAGGCCGGCCATAGCTGGAGAAATGAGGGGCTCGATACGATAGCTGATGGGGTCTGTGGGATGGAATATGTTGAAGATCTGCTTGCATAGAGGAGAAGAAGTTGTAATGTCAAAAGCATGTGTTTGTTCTTCCGCCGTGGCCGAGAAGGGATCGTCGAGAGGGTCACCAGGCGTCTTGGGCGTGACAAATGGCTTCGATTGTCTGGCGGAAATCGTGCGACCCTTGAGCATCTGGAAGAGTCCAATCGGTGAGCCTGAAAGTATTAGTTGTGATCAGCTGGACAGGTGAGCATCGCGTACCTAAAGCGTAGAAGTCCTCCACCTCAAAGTCAAGCTTAAGATCCTCTTCCGTATGACGTCGACCTTTGGTGGAGTTGCTCATCCGTGACTGTGCGTCTTTCTGTATGCAAAGGATATCGAACATGATAGCGGAGCCTAGAGAGTGGCCGACCAGACTGACCTTGCCGTTGAACTTGGGGTTGCGCTCCTTGTACAGTCGATATACACGATTCAACTCATTGACGACAATGCGCGAGATGTGGCCCTTGTATGCAGGGCTCTGGTACAACAGAATGTCGAGAGCGAGGTCAGTTAGGAAATTGCGCACAGCGGGTACACCCTCAACTGTGATGTCTTCAAGATTTGGGTACTCATGATCTTCGTGGTCAAGATCGCCGAGGTCATGCTCCTTACGATTGTGCTTGAGACTTTGTTGTGGGAAGTCGAGCAGGTGGCGCCACACAATGGGAATAACTTGGACGCGGTTATTCTTGGTCTCCGACTCAACTTCAGCATTTAGCGCTTGCAGATCAGGGGAAGCTGCGTAGACGGATTTGAAGGACTTGCGCAGGGTATTCACGTCATGGATGAAGTTGATGCTTTCCATTCGCATGCCGAGACGCTGTCCAATGCCATGCGTGATGAGTAGTAAATGCTCAATATCGCGGCCTTGATCCCGGTTGTCTTGGGTTTTGTAGTCATCACGCATCTCCTTTTCATCTCGCTTCCGCTGTTCTTCCTCCTGCTCGCGTTCGTAGTCTGTCTTGGAGGACGTCATCAAAGACGAGACCTGTCTTTCCAAGTTCCGCCTACGTGTCTGAGTCGGAGACTCGGCTCTGTCCTCGTTGTCTGTGGTCTCGGCATCGGATCCGTCGGTTGTGGCACCCTTTCCATGGTCCGAGCCGTAAGCCATGGATGGAGTGGTGGGTCGGCCAGCTTCTTTTTTGCTGGTGGGGTCCTTGGCGATTCTAGTCTCTTTTTTTTCCTTCTTGGGATCTTTGTAGCCACGGATGTATTTGTATCCAGCAAAGTGGGCGCCCCCCGCGAAGCGTTGATATAGTGTGCTTCCCATGCGCGACCACATGTCGTCTGTAAGGAGCCAGGCCGTGTTCTCGTCTTGGTATGTCACAGTCGAGTTCATGTAGGCACCAAAAAGCCTATGTGTTCGTGGCGAGTCTGAGGGTTGAGCAGGTGGTGGAGCTGCTTCGTCTGGCTTGGCTTGGTCTTGTTTGCTCGCCTCCTTCCGCAGGCTATCGAACGACGCCTTGGGGGTGACGGGATTCGAAGTCGAGTCCCGGTTGAGCCTGGCTAGTTCTTTGCGATACTCGTCACCTGCAGCGGGTCCCATGGAGACGGGTCGTGTGCGAGGCTGCGAGACGGAGCGCTTTTCTTTTTCTTCTGGCTTCTCGAGACGCCACGGCTTCACCTTGAGGTAGCCCTCCTCAAGCTGCATGGCCAGCCCTTCATCGACAGCCTCTCCGTCAGGTGTGAACCATGCGCCTCGCTTCACGTCGTAGACTGGCCCCAACCAATAGGCGGGTGCCAGTTCGCGCGTCTCGATCTCGACATCGAAGAGGTAGTCTTCGTTGACGGACACCTTGGTCGTAGTAGCTTTGGCGGCAGAGCCTTCCTTGTCTGGCGTGGTCGGAGTAGCAGCGGGTTTCCTCGCTTCGGCGTCATCAGCGTCGTCGGCCGACTTCTGGAATGCAGTCTCAATGGCATTGGAGTCGCTCTCGCTGAAGGGGATCCATTTCTTCGGCTTGGGCAGGGCGGCGTCGGGTGCAAGGCCGTGGGCAGAGAGCGGTTTTCTCTTGGGCACGTCGACTGCGTGGTACCAGCGCACGGCCAGCGGAGGGGCAGTCCTGCGGGTACTTCTTCAAGCTCAGGCGGTGTCTTCGGTCGACGACGTGATCGCCCCCCCTCTGTGTGCCTAGGACAGCCGCCTCCCGCTCCTTTGCCTTTGCGTCGTCTCTGTCTGCCGCAGCAGTCCTTGGTGTCGTGGGCGGTTTCGGCGTGACGGCTCTGGAGCCCCACGGGGACAGGTTAGCAAGGAAGCCTTGCTTGCTGTCAGGCGCAGACATGCGGTCCAAGGAGGGGATTTCGTCACAAACGGGGTTCAGCCAGCTCTTTCCTCGACGAGGCGATGTGCAGATGGGAATGCGGCAGAGGCGCCTGTAGCGACAGAGAGGGCGGGGAGCAAGCAGAGGAACGCGTGGGGCCGACGTGATGGCCGACGTGATGGCCGACGTGGTGGCTGACGTGATGGCGATTGCAGCAAGGCGGCGAGGTTAGTAGGTGACGGTCGGTGTCTTCAGGGCGATAATGTGTCCAGCATGTCCAGCATGTCCCGCATGTGACATTGATGGGGAATATATCGAGTTTCGCCGTCGGGCCTTGCATATGCACCCTCTTGCACATGAAGCACAGCCACATGCACGTCACAGACGAACATGAACATGAACATGAACATGAACATGGGCCACGGCCATCCGCTAGAGTGGCACGAGTGGGCTTTGGCGTGCGGGGCAGCACTCGGTAGCCGTCGCCCCATCTCCAACATGCTCCGACGCCTCAGACACGATCCAAGTCGAGCTCTGCATCCACCATGGAGCTCTACCGCCCGAGAACCGCCTCGATTCCGCCCAACTTCCGCCAGATTCCAGCCGCGCAGCGCTTCAATGTCACCGATGCTGCACAGCTGAAGCTCAAGCTCCAGGCCCTCGACGACAAGCTCGAGCCACATGTCGACGCCTCTGCCCTGGAGAATGCATGCCTGTCGCGCCCCTTCCATGAGGACGTCTACGTAGACGGCTCTGAGGAGTTCTTCCTGCTCGTCAAGGACGTTGCGCGGGCCGACCTCATCCCGGCCATCTACATTGACGCCTACACCACGGTGCAGCAGGGCCGCTTCCCTCTCAACCGCCCGCGCGTCTCCGACTTCAAAAAGGGCGTCGATCCCACCTTCTCGGAGATCCGCGCGCTCCTGCCCAGGATCGACGAGCTCTGTGGCACCCGGCTCAGCGAGTCGTTCCTGGCCCTCGAAGACCAAGGCAGGCGCAAGTGCGCCCACAGCTCCTTCCCCGGCTAACATGTCGCAGTCAAGCCATTCCCCTTCCTCCGACTTCCAGCCGAGCTCGCGCTCCACGTCTACTCGTGCCTTCTGCCCCGCGAGGACCACATCGCCCTCCTCTACCAGCCGACCCGTGACCACAAGCCCCCTCGTGCACGCATGGACATCATGCGCACCAGCCGCCAGATGCACAAGGAAGTGACAAAGTACTTCTATGAAAATCGCACTCTGTTTATGATTGTAGCCCGTGACAAGCACAGCCAGATGCTCAGCAGAGAATACGCTTCGAGGTATTATGAGACACTTGCCGCCATGAGTCCCGAGACCCGCGCCCTCTTTACTCGACTGGAAGTTGACATTGCCCACTTCTCTGAGCAAACCTTCGCCTCACGCCGTTTTCACCACATACCATCCGTCACAGATCCCATGCAACACATCTTTGACCTTCTCCCACACCTCAAGACCATCGTTATTGTCCTGGGTGTTACACCAGCGCGTCCCGCAAAAGCGGTCGAACGCGTCATCACCCAAAGGAACGAGACGTTGCGTTGGCTGCTAGAATACGTACCGCCTAATGTTGACATTCTCTGGGAGAGAGCGAGCTTGCCCAAGATTGATACTGGTGCTGCGGAACTACAGTCCATGATTGAAGCCAGAGGTTCCTTCATCGACAGCGAGAGCATCACCATGCAGCTGGCTGCGCAAAGACGTAAAGTGATTTGATATGCCCGAGGTTGCCAGAGCTTATCATGAAGACAACCCTATAGAATATTATTGGTCCTGGTTACGTTCAAGTCACCATCAGTGATGCAAATAGAGACGGGGATAACAGTGAAGATGGCCAGGAAGTCAAATCGAGAATCGCAAAAAAATAACATTTCAGTCTATCTAGACATGGTGCCATGCAACAAAAGGCCATATAACACCCGAATATACCAGCACCAAGAGAAACCAACCGCAGACCACCAGACTTCTTTAGGTGTGATGGTAGCTGAAGAAGAAGAGAAGGAGGACCGAGAGGTGTATACGGAGGAGACGAAGCAGACGCCAAGCCCACAATAGCACGGTCTCTATTGTGCTCAATTTTAGCTTACAAGGTGAAGACGAAATCATGGTGGGACGCGTCGCAACAATAGCACCAGTAAAAGCCAGAGTGAAGGAGCATCGCATAATTTCGAAGCATACATGAACATGGGGCCAATGCAGCGGCACCATGACACTCGGGCCCCATTCACTTCGAACGTGGATCGAGAGCTCATAGGAAGATACTTGAAAGGCGCAAGGTTGCATACCTAGTAATGTCAAGCACTTGGGTAGGCTTCACCCCGGCTGTCACGTGAGCAACTGTGCGTGAAACATTCTGGGGGTGTTCAATCGATCCGGAAAAGTCCTCACTTTCACCGTCGCCAAGTAATTGACAGAGAGCAGCTAGCAGCATCGCGCCGTCGTATGTAGGTCGCTCCGCTCTCCCCACACCTGTTCACGTATCCACAATCCGCGCAATCATGGACCCGACTTCGCCATTCTCGCACTCTCGCGCTGATACAGAGCCCGACGATGTACCACTACCGGGGACACCGGCTACAGGCAACGCACCTTCGGCTACTACTGCGGCGCTGGCATCATCTTCGACTGTTGCTGCCACTGAGCCCAACATTATCCTCACTCATGTACGCCACTTCGTGTCCACCCTCATCGAGATTGTCTCGCCCGTACCTGTCCGCCAAGGCTGGATGTACCTCTACAACACCCTGCACAACAAGATCGCAACATGCCCGGCTATATACCGCTATGGGCCCCTTGCTCTCATTATTTCCATTGGAGTAGCAGAGTGGCAACAACCCGGATTCATCCCAGGCCCGCAGCAGCTCACAAATGCGATTATTGGATTTCTATGTGCGACAATCTTGGTGTTGGGTGTCCTGGCAGTCAACGAGTACATAGAAACCAACAAGTGGCCGTGGCAAGACGAGGAGTGGATCTGGCCGTGGGAAAAATGGCTATGGCAGGATACGGTTTATGATCTTGGTGCAAGCACAAGGACAATTGCTGATGGACTCGTGTCGCCGCCATCTGCTAGGACGCCACACATGGTCGAGGCTTCGCCAATGAAACCGATCTCACCGAGGACTAAGACACCTGTCATTGAGACTAATTCCATGCTACCGCCGACGGCTTCCAAGCGACCCATCATCATACCGCCTACGCCCCAGCTTCCTGTTGGCATGCGTCCACCTCCAATGCCTGCGCCTGCGCAAATCCACAGATCTGGCATCATTGGTGAATCTCCTGCACCTTCAAAGCCGAGTTATAGCACTGGTAATGCTTTCGCGGAGAAGTATGGGAGGCTACAGGCGGTGTCAGATTGGCATGCTGGAATTGACAGGGTACATGATGCAACCGAAGGCACGAGGATGGATGTCTGGGCGAGGAAAGATGTCAAGGGCAAGGGAGAAGCAGTCGAGAGTATCGAGGAGGCTGGAGATGTAAGGGCCGACGACTTCAGGGAGGGTAGTATGGGTTTGTTGGCGGTTCCTGAGTTGACGCCAGATTTGTGAAGGCGGGGAGTTTCGTTGCTCCGATCTTAAGTCACTAGCGAGCACATGATGGTTGGATGCTAAAACGAGAGTCATGGATTTCACTTCACCGCTGAACACTACGTATGCTTTCTACGTAACCCTTCCATCGGCTCTCCCATGCGCTGCACATCAGCAACAAAGCTGGACACCGCATCCATTCTTTCTTCTTTCCACGTTCCCGATAGGACTTCCTATTCCTTCTCCCCATTCTTCTCCTCATCCTCTCCCCCCACCACCTCATTTTCGCCTACCTCTATCCGTGGCACATGCTTGAACCCAACTTTCCACCACGTCGATCCGTCCGCCTCTTCTTCCTCATCAACGCAGACGATAATTGTACTCGGGTCTAAAACCTCGATTCCGTACTCTTCGCATTTCCTGTATAGTTATGAACTAAGGGCGAACGTTAGGTCATCTATTTCCAAAGCGGAGACAAGGCTTCCTTGGATGATAGGAACGATTTCCTTTTGAACGGCGATGCGGATGGCGTTTTGAGTTGGACTAAGTTCAGGGTGGTTGGCTGTCATGCTGTATGGCACTGCCGAATGGTCTGGAGATGAGATTCAGATAGAGAGAGGAGAAAAAGGATGTATGGTGTGATCAAGGAAATATGGCAAATGAGATGGGCAGTCATGTGTACCTCGGACGTGAAAGGTTTGATGATTGCCTGTGTGATGTCAAGCCAGCTTACAACGTGTTCCAGTTTCGTATCGTGGCGCATACCTTTGCGAAAACGAAACAGGTACTGGCTTGATGAGGGATCCAGCGTAGGCTATTCCTTTTCCAATAGCTTTTAGTTCGATATGGGTACTTATGCGCCCTCGGCGGATCGTGAGACCAAGGTCGTCATTCTTCTGCGGACTCGTCCGTGTTTGTGCCAACGACAACTGGGAAGTAGCTATGATGTATTATCTTGATCCATTTACATGAGACGATGTACAAGTATTCGAGAGTCGCGAAGTACTCATGAGTAGCCTACAATACACATTTGGACTCGGACCATTTCGAATTGACTAACTCTCTACCCTTACAACGCATTGCTCCATGGTAGTCTCTTACAGCCCAAGCGAGTGTACAAACGGCGCAGAAGACAAGAATATGGTCCACAATGCCCACAACTTCCATGTTTTCTCATCAGAGCTTTTGTCTCTCAAATACAAGCACCTCCACGCCACCAAAAGACCAAAGCTGACCGTCATCCATCCGAATACACCCATAGACCAATAGTACCGACAGAAGAAAGACCAAAAGATGACAGGTACAGCCACTGTCCAGCGTGTGGGGGAATCGCCCAGGACAATAGGCGCGGTTCTGCGCCCCTTCAGCCTGTCGCCGTCTTGATCTTTAATATCTTGGACTTGCATGGTGGTCAATATTACCAGGCTGATCACCGATGTCCAGACTGTGCCAGCAGCACTGAGTGAGGTAGCCGGCGAGCCTAAATCTGTTGCTGCTACCCTGGAAGTTCCAACGTTGTACAACCAGAATGCAGCAGCAAGAATGATATTACGCGAAGTCCAGTGGTCGTCACCGCCTTCTAGATCGTTGTACAGCCAATTTAAGACAAAAAGCAGAGCACATTCAACACCAACGTGCAGAACATAGTGATTGAATGCGAGAACGACCGGAATGGTGAGTAGCATGACTCGGCGAGCTTGCGTCGATGTCATTTGGCCGCTGGGTATAGGCCTCCATGGTTTGTTGAGCTTGTCTTCTTGTACGGAAGCGGGAAGACGCTGGTTGGAGAGATTAAATATGAAAAGGTTGGTCCAGCTGAATAGAAAGACCCAAGGTAGACGACAGAGCAATTGTAGTGGTGTCGTAGTCGTGTTGTGCATCATGGCTGGTCCTGAAAGAGAGGCCGTTATGCCAAACATCGTGTTCGGAAACACAAAGGTTGGAACGTCATTCTTGGTGAGTAACCAAGCAATTCGTAAAGCCGTAGAAGTCCGATAGAGCAGCATGCTGGCATGCAGTTGTAAATTCCCACGAGCCAGCTGCATCGTCCCAATAATTCTGTTGGCCAATGCGGGAGTGCTTGACTTGGTCATCATGGCCGGGCTGGTCGAGAGTCTGATGAACAAATTGATTATAGATTTAGTGAGTACCTATCGCAGGCAAGGTGATGAGTAAAATAGCAAAAAGTCCATCGACTGGTATTTAACTCACACTCATTTCCAGTATGCCTGTAGGATCCAGTAAAATCAGAGCCTCAGTCGGCGAAATGACAGAGTGGGATGCTTAGATGACTGTACATCGTCTAAGCCCTGTGGAGTTGCGGCCATGTTTTTGCGCCTTCTCTAACTTCTAAGTGATAGAAGGGCGTTCTCTTGTCTCGTCTTGGTATAAGGCGTACCATAGTAGCTCACCGGTCCGCATGCAGGATTAGTACACATGTTGAGAAGGCCACCAAAGTAGTCCAAATGTCAGCTGACTGTGAGTCAGCTCGTCCTTCATACAGTGTCCTTCGCTCATCCACTTCTAAATTTGCATAATCAAGTCCTCGGCTGAGGAACCTTTTTACGGGAACGGTAGCCTGGTGCCGCAGCGCCGCTACTCGGATCCTTCAGGCTGGTCCGAGGTTTGAGGACCGATGGTCAGCATATGAGAATTTGCACCAAATTCACGAAATCGAGCAGTGTCTACCATTCCCTGGCGTATTGCCACGAATGAAATGGTCGGGTTGACCATGGCAAGGACTGTCTTAGCGAGTTTTACTGCCTTACCTTGGCTACAGGTGCCCTGCAAGCAGCATTGGCATCGGGAAGACGACAGTACCTCCGATATTGTCGGAAATTCCGCGAGTGCTTTATCTGCCATTGGTCTGAAGCTTTGTGCGACAACGTGCGCGCCTTCAAACCGACCTGCAATCGTGGTCAAATTCCATGCTTTGTAACTACGTTTGCAGGCACGTCAGCACTTATCGGCACCTTGACAGCCTTCTATTAGTCGCCAAATTCGGCAGCCTGAGGCAGGTCAGGCTTATCAATATGTCTTGCGCAGTGAAGAACAGAATTGCACTTGGCCGTTGTCACCGCTGCCTTCTCCCAGGCAGCATTATTGATGACGTCGGCTGCAATTCTAGAGCCTCTTCTGCTTGGCGATACAAACTTCACTGCTGACCCTGAGTCCTTCGGTTCTTTCCCATCACGTCCTAAGAGTACAGTAGAGCCTTGCACTTTCTCGCGCAATCTTGTTGTACGTCATAATCTTACAGTAACGCATCGGAACTTGTGCGCTAACCCACTTTTGCTGTGCCGCACCCTAAGCACCAAGACGTCCTTCTAACGACCCAAAGCAGTACCAAAGTCCAGAGGGAGATATGTTGAGGGCTTCGCGATTTTCCCAATCACTTAGAATGCTGTCGATTATACATAGGTGTATTTGACAAACTCTGCGGACCGACTACACTCTACACGGTCTGCCTTCCCCATCCTCAGCCCAGCGATCGCTTCACACCACTGTCTTTGCGTAAAACAGGTCTTTGGGATCATATTGACCCTTTATCTTGTCAAGTCTACCGTAGTGCGAGCCGCAAAATAAGGTCTTGAAATTTGCAGCTTGGAAATCTGCTTCGCTGAGATAAGCAGCGCCGCTCGGCGTGATCTCAGCAAGCTTCGCAAGGACGATATTTAACATACGATCCTGTTCAGTTAAGGTCGTATTCCAGTCGGCCTAGTCCATAGGTATTCCTCTTGCTATGCTCATGAGAGTTTCCCTGAAATACACATCGACGACAGGTGCTATTGCGGGCATGAGCCTGAGCCACAGGAACCAGCAACCCACACAAGAAAAGCACCCGCATCGACAAGACTTGAGAGAATCTATAAGAGTGTTTTAACCGCGGTTTAAAGAGCGTCTGCATTGCTCCCGTTGTTCGTAACGCTGGCATATGCCGTCAAAAAGAAGGTATCCGGCAAGACTTTGACGGTCGTCGAGACGACTACGCCGTACGTGCACCACCAATTCCGCACAAGGCCCAGAGAAGATCTTGATGGCTATCAGGATTGGCGGCGATATGTCCGCCGGAAGCTGCCACAACCTCCCAGTCCAACACGTGATCAGCGCTCAGACCATATTTGGAGGAAACATGTCCATGTCCATGGCCGCCGCCCTGAATATAGCCACCAGTAATTCCAACGGTAGGACAATTAACGCCTACGACCATCAACTTGTGGGAGTTGGCAAAAGTATAAGCTTCGATTGACTAAATCCCTGCGCCGACTTCGATGAATGGTCTTATATAGCTCGATATAGCTTATGACACAATGAGCTCGATGTCCTTCATGTAGTGGGTCCATATAGCTAGTGGAAGAGGGCAGTTGCCATCCCCTGTTAGTATAGCTTATTTTCTGATGATACCCCACTTTGCGTTCATATCTAGAATAAATAGTTAGTGGATAAGCACCTGTTGACTTTCCGAGATAATCACGTCCAGTGTTCCGAATGAATGAGCGGATGTTTTGATCACTCGCGAATTTGACTGTTTTTTGTCAATCATCGATGCCGGTCACATCGACTGACTATGCCACATGTCCGCCGAGTGTGCAGGTTGGGTTTGACGTCGACCAGGGATTGCAAGAGTTGTCAGAGAAAGTGTAAGCCATGGTTAATAAAGGTGAGGATAGGTGTATCTTTGGAAAATGCCAGATATCGCGCAATACGTTGCATTCAATCTTGCTATAGGTGAGAGATGGTATTCCGTTGTGCACCGAGAATGCGTAGCATGGTTCACCAATGGGTACGGTTGCAATCAATCAGCCTCGAAAAGTCCTATTGAATTATATCCAATCTTGACTTGAAGGCCAGGCGGTATCGTCTGGAATGCTGCGATATGTAAGCAGCGCAGTGGCAAAGGCTCGTATTGCGGTGAAGACAACCAGTACAAGACTCGATAACAGCGCAAGACAGCTCATGTTGGATAAGGTCCAAAAGTGGCGTTTGGTCAATTTGAATAAGTGAAGAAATATTTGAATTACTTTACAAATTGTACAAGTAGGTGTGGTTGAAGGGAATGTACCTCATCAAATCAGAGCACTTCTCAGACGGCTTTATATACACGAAAGGACAGACATGTGATGCGGATAAAAGCAGGCCCTATCAATTTGAAAGTCCGTGCCGCTGAACGGTGTTGCGTGAGTACAACGATGGTTACATCGTGCCTCGACGTGGAGTCGCAACCATGACCCAATGAAGCGTTGAGCAAGAAAAGGATCCAGGGGTTTGAGAGAACAAACCCAAATTAGAAACAGCGCCAGGCTGTCTCTAATATGGGTTTTGACGTCTTTTGGTGAATCGATTGTGATATCCCACACTAAAATTAGGCGCTTTGAATGGCATCGTCTGAGCAATTGCCTTGAGTATCTTGCTCGTTGAAGCAAGTGCCGCCAAGGCTACGAGGCTAGATGGGGTGAGCGACAGAAAGTCCGACATGGTAAATTTACGCTCGGTGTTGCGCACTCAAGTGCACGATTGGTATTCAAAGCTTTGCTGAAAACCATAGGGAGAAACCCTGGTTTGGGTACCTGAGTCGACCTATATTGAGATAGCTGGCTGTTTGTGTTGCGTGTTGACGACGCGACTTAGAATGGACTAACAATCAGACGGACCGACCAGGCGCACTGCCTCATGTGTGTAGAAACTGTGGATAACATCTAACATAGCAAATTAACACTACCTTTCATTGCTACTTGAGGATATGGTGCGGTGCGACGTAACTAGTCTTCTTGTGTCGCAGCAATATGGCCGAGTTGGCGTGGCGTATAGACAGTGCTCCACACCAGTGGGCAAGGAGCTCCTGAAGCCATGAGCTGCATTTGCATGTTTTGCCCGCTCGGAATCGCGTATGACATCGTGCAGGCTTGTATTGGACTGGAAAGTAAAAACATAATACCATTGGCTTGTGCACCTATCGGACAAATACGCAGTTACCGCGATCCTACGCGCGAACGTTTTCCCAGATCGCGATCTGTACGCAACAAGTTTACGAAAGATGTGGTTCATCAATGTTACATGTCAACCATGGGTGTTTTGTCGTCTCGTTTGCAATGCACCTGGAAAGCAGCGCGAGATGCTAATGTCCAGAACTCTGTCCAACTGCTTTTGGCTAGTAAATTTTGAAGTTCTTCGTCGCTGAATGGAGGCCCGAACAGGAACTCCATCTCCTGCAAGTCTGGCCAGCGCCCACCAGCTGAGTGCTCTTCAAAAAGCACCTGCATCCAACGCGATTGCAACAATTCGGAATCGGCATCAAATATCTCTAGATACTTCAGCCCAGGTGGTAGAACATCTATCGGCGTCAGATTGAAGTCTCCCACGACTGTCTCTGGGTGTCGCATGTTGAAGAGCTTGGTGGAAAGTATGGCTGCTTGTGGAAGGGCCAAACGTCGCAATTGTGAAAACAACTCAAATCTTGGGAGCGGTTTCCGCGTGGCGCCAGGAAGTGTCCAGAATCCACCGGGTAGACGTAAGAATTGCAAGTGCGGTCTAACGTGGACTAAAGAGTCAACCAGATACTGGTAGTCTGTCCATTCTGTACGAGCTGCATACAGACGCTCATCCCAATATGTATCTCCGGTAGAGGCATCATAGTCAGAGAGCAGCGGTGCTTCAGGGTATGTCTGTATGTTGGCCTGGTAATGGGGAAACGCACGCACAGATCTGAAAGGGTTCTTTTCTGACGAAGCCTCAGCATAGAAATCCAGACTTGCAAGCTTGGGAAAGGCTTGTAAAATGTGCGTCATGCCGCTGCGAGCTGAGAAGTCCCAAATGCCGACAGTCTTTATCTGGCAGTCCAAACGAAGGTGACGAATGGAACGAAACGTTTCCAGGGCGTCAGAGCCACCGTATAATCTCGAAAGATGTTGCACCTCATGGTTGTCCAATCCAGCTAATTTGATACTAATGTCAAGAGTGTCCAAGTTCGGAAAGACATTAAGGCCGTCTAGGCGAATTGGCGTGAGACTCGACAGTTTCAGAAATTTAAGATTTCGAGCGCATGGCAAACCCATCTTGGCATTCATATTCAAGCCATCTATGCCATCGACGTTAAGCACACGATCTTGCGCGTATAGCCATGCATCTGAACTGACTTCTGAGAGTGAGAATCGTTCAATTTGTGGTAGAAGCACCCGTAATATGCGCAGTAGGGCATATCTGTAGTCCAGATTCATTGAGCTTCTCCATGCCTCTTTGATGTCCGCGGGCAAGTTGAGCGCTTCGATGAAATTGCGAGAGGGACATACGACTTGAATCACAAGGTTGAGGGGGAGCGCCTTGAGATTTGATTCTTCTGGATCACTTCTTTGGTCGGCAGGTTCACCGCTCCGAGGAAAGCAGAGACGAATTTGCTTGACATATCGTCTGAAGTCAGGGCGAGCGAATATTGTACGCAGGAAGTACGCGACGCGTGCATGACTCAGATCGTTGGGAAATCGAAAAGCGAAGCCTCCCAATACAGGGGCCGTGAATATGTGTTTCTGAGCAATGTCTCGAAATCTCCTGCTCGCCAATGAAAGGCTACAAAGCGGAGCACAACTGGCCAGGAAGTCGCGAATGAGATAAGGATCTGGCTGATTTGGAGGAGGGTCGTCTGGAATATGACCTAGCACTCGATCGGACCGGTTGAGATCGATACTCGAAACGATGTGCTCAAGCAGTTCAGTCGGTAGATCGTTCAAGGACAATCGATCTTGGTCACTACGTCAGCGCGAATACCACCAGAAGCCGATCCACGAGATACAAGCATTGATCTAAGAGAAGAGCACTTACAGGATTTCTGAACGTCTGTGGTAGCCATTTCTGTGATGGAACGTTACTGCGAGTGCTGTGACATTGATGGTTAGGGAGGGAGTAGGTATCGTGAGGAAGTCCGTACTGATTCAGATTCACGCTAGGCCAAGAATGGAAAGGCTAATGTTTCGCCCAACCATCTCGAACGCTACTACCCTCATCATCAGGACTAGGTTTCGTTAGCAAACTCCTTTAGAACATGTATCAGATGTCATCCCCAGTTTGAGTCAATGACTCAATGCTACTCGGGCCGTTCCGACGACAGAAAGCCCCTGCCATTCCAACCTGAAGTAAAAGCAAGGATTAGCAACACACACACTGCACCTTAGAACCTGTAAAGTATCGATCATCACAGTGCTAATCAGCTTGTGCTGCATGAGATAAGTGATCATCTTCTGCCGTGCATGATGTTGCAAAGTGGCTTGCGGGGTCGTCCATCTCGATCGACGCTTAGGCAGCACCCCAAAGGCTGACAGATGTAGAACCAGCTCATCCTAACACAAACTCATATCGAACTACAGGGCAGTAAAAACTTGGAGTCAAACATCACAGAACAATGTGAAGAGTACATCTGTCGAAGAAAGGTTACTATGATTGTTCGTGGTCGCCTCTACTAACCTACCACAAGACTGGGTGCGGTGAGACCTCGAGACTACTGAGTACTATATTCTGTTTCGCCCTCCTTCAACACAACAGAAGAAGATAAGAAATAAAAACGCTGCGTCATCACATTGCATCATATCGAGTCATTGAACACTCCCAACGCTAACTTGCTTGTTCCACCAACTCAAAGAAAAAGAAGACCAACAAGCCAAATGGGTATTAGATCCGCCGAAAGAAGAAAGCAGCTCTCGCAAGAGCAGGTATAGTGCTAGAAGATGCTTGTTGAAAGAGAATTCCACAATCGCTTCGCGGTGAAAGAAGAAAAGCGGTACGATCTTGTCCTAAGCCAAAGCTTTGAAGGTCCCAACGCGTGCGAATGTTGGTATGCGTGAGCGTTCCGTGTCTAGCAAACAATAGCAATGTGACCTGCACTGTCGCAAGGCAAAACGCAGCAAACAAACAAGCGTAGTAAATGTAGACTGGGAAATCGAGCCGAACATCCAGCGTGAGGGAGAATCAAAATCAAACTTTTCTGCGAGTGGGTTTGGCCAGGAAGCCAACACTGCTCGCGTCAAACTTTTGGTGATAGATCCCGCTCAAATGGAAGTCAAAAGAAAAAGGTTTGAAAAAGCCAACAGCCGCAGACACAGAAGAGGAGAGAATGCAGTGAGCTGCCGAGTTCAGTTTCGGTAAGTAGTCGTTGGTCGGGTGCGTCGTAGAATTGGAGCTCGCTCATCGCGAATTTCGCGGATCTCGTCCCTATCACGCCTGCTACGCGCGCTGCGCGTGCTTCTCTCCGATGCATCTTCAGCGTCACGTCTTCCTTGGCCAGCAATAAGCGATCTTCTGTTGTTGTTAACTTGGACAGTGCCCCGCTCACTGCGGTATACACTGTCGTTGCCACGAGCATTGCCACCGCCGATGACCAGGTCCGTCATGCCACCCTTCAGCTGGAACAAGCTGTAAGTGCGGCCCTCCATGTCGCCAGAGAGCTGGAGACTGAGTGGCATGGTGCCATCAACGCGGAGACGGATCTCGTGTGTCGCACTGGTCATGGTAGTACCGGTTGACTGGCTTGCCTTTCCGCTTCCGTTGCTTTGAGAAAGAGCCAGAATCAGAAGGCAGTGAAGGCTTACGGGAGGCCCTCTTTAGAGCTACCTTGCTGATCTGATCGGCATATGGATCGCGGCTGCCACGAGTGGCGTTGATGTACTCTTCCGCGCTGAGCTCAGCTTTCTTGTTCTTGACTTCAACAGTACGCGCCTTTCCTTTGCGCGGATCCGATTCAGTCTTGGCGCGTTGGCGGTGTGGCAGAACACGTGGAGCCTCCTCCTCGCTCTCGTCTTCCTCATATTGACCAGGAATGTATTGTTCCTGCATGAGGACTCTCGACGCGCGCTTCTCGCGTTGCCTCTCAGCCTTGTACTGTTCCTCCGCGACTCGGTCTCTGACAAAGTCGTCGTATGTCTTGTCGTAGACCTGATATGACTTGCGACGGTTATTCCTGCTATCGTTGACAACTATCCGGGCTTGACGAGTATCGTACTCGGATTGTGTCGAACGATGGACCGGAGGACGGCTGACTGATGGGCGTCGCGATGGAGCAGCACTTACAGTGGGTGCTCGCTCACGTTGTCGCTCTCGTGGAACAGCACGGTCGGGAACAACGATAGATTGTCGACGCTTGTCGCGGCGGTCGTTCTCAAGACGCTCGACAACCTGCGTTGTCTTTGCGTGAGTGAGTGCAGGACGTCGCTGGCTCTGATCACGCTTCATTTTCGGCGGAGGCATGAGAGCGCGAGCAGCTCGGACTTGCTGTTGTTGGCGGACCTCACGCTCATGCTCCTCGTCTTCAGTGTACTCTGAATCAGAGGAGGAGTCTTCGTCAGCGTCAGGTTCGCCGTACTGCAAGAGTTTAGGCTTAGGGAGGGTTGGGTTGGCACCCCTGTTGTAGTGTTGCTCATTGGGGGTCGGAGGCTGTCCATATCTCGCGGAGTACTTGGAAGTGTCATCCTGAGTGATGATGGGAGGAGGCTGACTGTGTGACCATAGCTTGACGAGCCGCGTGCGGACAGCGGGGGCCGTTGTTGATGAGTCGAACTGTTGAGCTTGCTGGGGGTAGTAGCCGCCCTGCTGCGCACCCATGTAGGGAGGAATATGGTGAGGATACTGCAGGTGCTGCATATTGGGCATGTTCTGCATGCTTTGGTAGGCAGAGAAAGAGGGAGGAGGGCCACGCTCCTGAGGCGGGCTGGGATAGGGTGCGGGCATGCCCGGCGCCCAGAAGCTACTTGGCTCGCCAGCGAAACTCTGGGGCCGCGGGGGGCGTGTGCCGGCAGTGGACGAGGAGCGACGTGTCCGGGCGGTTTGGACGACTGCTGGTCCCTGCGAGGCATAAGGGGCGGGCTGTCGGTTGTATACCGGCGAAGGTGGAGAGTAGTAAGGGTTGGGGTCTGAGCGCTGTGACATGGTCTCCGAGGGGTAGCCGGCGACGTTGCGGGTAGAGGCAGTCTGCTGCAGTTCAGGTCGACGAGCTCGGGGTGGCAGAGTGTTGAGCCCGCAATCGGTGCAATTGGGGTCTCTGCATTCTGCGTCTTTGGTGTCGCGCCGCTCTCGGGTGATGGTCGGGCGGCGCTGGTGGGCAGGGCGTTGTGGCTTCGACGACACCGAGGCGGTGCGTGAGAGCGGCTTATGGCTCTGACGAGGGGCTGCTCTCGTTGCTGTGGTGGCGCACCTCGCCGCCAACAGTTGTCTGTCGTCGGGGCTTTGGGCGCCGGGACTCTGGGAGACGGGCGGTGCGGCGGTGACGGGCACGGCGGGCGGGCTTCGCGAAGAGGCACTTGGAGCCGAATCA